TGAGATGCTGTGCTTCTCTCTCTGGGGTTGTCATTTTGTGGGAAGACTGCAGCTGTTTTAGCACAAATCTGGGCAGTGGTACAAATGGTATTAGTAGGTATTAGTAGTCATGCACATACAGAAAAAAGAAGAGCCAGTCTCAATTATGAATGTCCTTGATGAAGCAGTAAAAATTACGTAATGTAATTAAATCTCACTCCTTGCATATATGTCTTAAACACTCTGGCTGATGAAATGGGAACTGCGCAGACGCTCTTTGGCTGTGTTCCAAAGTGTGATGGTTGTCGAAGGAAGAGCTCGTGAGTGATTGAGTGGCCGACTGAACCAGTTGCCTCCTTCAGAGAACACGGTTCTTACCGGAAAGAGCAACTGGATAAAATAAAATGAAGTTAATAAAATGAAGAACATCGTGCTTACTCAGACTTAGTATTTGCCAGACATTTTCTGGAAAATCAATAAAACGAGCTTGTCGTTTCGACTGATAGTATTTATTGCCACTGATAAAGTGAAAGCTTTCCAAAGAAAATTCAAATTTTGGAAAACATGTATATGTGACAGCTTGAGCTTGATATGAGGTTGGCAGCTTTCCTATCCATAAACTTTTTTGATGAGATTAGTGGTGATATTAATGAGTGAGATGATTTTGTATTTTATAATAAAATGGGTATCATTTGGAAGATCTGCATGAGGCAGTGAAACACTTTTTTCCAAATGACAAATTCATATGTTACAAAATCATGCATGGGTAAAAGATCCATTTAAAGTGCAAGGTAGGTGAGTGGGTTTTGGTATTACAGAATAGGAAAAATGTCATTGCTATGCTTTCAAATTCCACGTATCTACCATTAGAAACTACCACTGGTTGAATTTCAGTATGGTATTAAAGAGGAATACCCACAACTATCTGAAAAGGCTACTAAAATACTCCTCCTTTGTCCAACCACATGTCTTTGTGAGGCCAGATTTTCACAATACACCTTAACCAAATTAAGCCAGACATTAAAGATACTGTGAGAATGGATGACAAATGCCACTCTTCTCACTAAATTGCTTCTGTTTTCAGAAAATATAGTTCTTTTATATTAAGATGTTATTTATGTTAACATGTAACATGTTTATTATAATATTTAAATGAGTTAATAAATAAATATCTAAAACATTTTCAGCATTAACTTATAGTAATATCAGCAGCTATAACCCACATAAATTTGGGGGGACCCTCAACAATTTTTAAAAGCATAAATGGGTTCTGAGACTAAAAAGTTTGAGAATCACTGTCTTAAATAAATCTCCACTAGTCACTTGATACACAAAATTTCAGGAAGTTGTAGGTGCAATGGTTGAGTCCAAGAGGTGTTGAGTTACCCAAGGTCATTCACATGGTGGATTAGGGACAGAGATGAGTCTAGAACCACAATCTCCTGCTGTAGCATGCCTCAAAACTCAAGTTTGTTTGTTTGTTTGTTTGTTTTTAGGATGCTCTTTAGAGTGCCAATGAGGAAATTTTGAGATCCTCAAGCCATAAAAAGGGAGGGACAGTACCTTCCCCTCAACATGCATCCATTTAAACAAGCATTGAGTATCAACTAAGTTTCAGGCACTGGTGCTCGTTGCTGCTAAAGGCAAAGTAAATGAAACATGGCCAATGTTTTGGGGGGAGCCAAGCTTACCATATAGAGGAAGAGATCACAGGATAGACGATACATAATAGCTTATAATATGAATTATCCAGCATATAACATATATCGTATAATCATGCAACCAATATAATTACATTATGCTACTACTGGTATTACAATATGTATTAATAATATTATATATGGTATAATATTTTATAAGTTGTATACACTATACCTAGGGAACAGGAAGTACTTGGGGTTTTAGCTGGCAATCGTGTGCAAAGCAGAATCATGAACTTGGGAAGTTTGCCATTAGCTGTATGCCATTGTCCTTTTGACACTTCCTAGGGTTGCTATAACAAATTACCATAAATGGTGTAGCTTACAACAGAAATTTCTTCTCTCACAGTTCTGGTGGCTGGAAATTCAAAATCAAGGTGTCAGTAGGTCCAAGCTCTCTCTCTAGGGAAGAGTCCTTCCTTATCTCTAGCTTCCGGTGACTGCCACCAATCCCCAATGTTCCTGGGCTGGTGGACACATGGCTGCAATCTCTGCCTCTGTCTTCACATGCCCTTCTCCTCTGTACTTCTGTGCCCAAAGGTCCCTCTTCTTATAAGGACAGCAGGCACATTTAGAGTCCACTCTGATCCAATATGACCTGATCTTAAACTTGATTATGTCTGCAAAGACCCTATTTCCAAATAAAGTCCCATTCACAGGTTCCAGGTGGACATAAGTTTTGGGGAAGAGGATTCAACCTAGTACACTACTTTTGTGCCCGTCCCCAGCCCCCACTGCTCAGAATCTCTTTGGACCAAAGTTCATCTGGATTTTTCCTCATACTTTTCAGGGTGTGGGGTCCCACTGAACCCCACCTGGCCCTTCTCTGTTGATGCTTCAAGTGATTGCCAAAGCTCACTACATTTAACCCGTGAGTTTAGCAAACAGTTTCTCAGGGCCACAAGGATGTGGGGTTGTGAAGGGGGAGAGAGGAATCTGAAACAGGGACACCCGGACAGTGGAGGTGGACGGCAAGGTCCTCACATCTTTCTGTTGGCCTTGGGCGATTTTTATTTACCAGGCCTAGAGTCATAGTGTAAGACAATATTAATAGGACATAATTAGAATCCAGGGAGTGATGAAGGACACTGCATCCTACACTCTGGCATAGCTGATTACACACGGCCTTGAGGACAGGATGTCCATACCAGTCAACACCATCACCTCCCAGCACCTGGGGACAACATGTGACCTGGCTAGGCCCTCAGGTTGGATTCCAGCAGGGTGGCTCAAAGTGCTAGATCTTGATCCAGACCACTTGAGTTCAATCCTGTCTTCACCGTGGTGGGTCCCTTAGGCAAGTTATGTCACCTATCCGTGCCTCAGTTTCCTCATCTGTAAGGGGTGATAGTATCCCACTTCACAAGCTTCTCAGGAGGAATAAATGAGTTAACAATACATATAAATTGCTTAGAACAATACCTGACAATATAGACATTTGTTGTTATTAACATTATTATTATATGAATTT